TTTGACAGCTCAAGAACAAAAACATCTTACTGCAAAATATCTTTTTCTAATAGTAGTAGTATTATTTATAGTAATAGATGAAAGTGTCCCATGAATTCTACATTTAGAAGAAATAATTTATAATGGTTAGAAGGCAGTTAGTTCAAGTTATATAGGTGCTGAATTAATTTACAGTCCTTTATGATTTAAAAATGGTAAAAGAAATTCAATAAGTGAAAGTTCTAAATTTGTCTATGGCCATTAAGAGAGCAATAATTGTACATTATTGTCAAACATTCTGCAATACACTTACAAATTAATGTCTTTCTGTTCGTAAGAAATTTTCGCTATTATCATCAAATTTCCCAGAAGACATCTGTCACCTTATATTAAAGAGCAATTATGAAATTTGTGTTGTTCATTAAATTAAATGAAATAATGTTGCCGAGGTCATTCTCAACTTTTGAACTTTCTCAACGATTGAAAACAAAACAATGATTAATTCTCATATCTTTCTCATCAATTTTATTTTCACTCATAGAATTTGGAAGATATCGACTTGCTAGTTGCTGTTGTTGGGAAAAATTTTTTCATCAAATTTAAATTTTGCAAGCTAAATTTTCTTTTTGAATTATTAAAATATATTTTTTAAAAGAATGTCAAAACGTTTTAGTATGAAATATCTGACGATCGTAAAAAAACTGTTCATTTGGAAGCAATGAAATTATTCATTAAAAATTTCTAATATATAACAGTGAGATAAAAATAATTATACCTAAATATTATATCACTATTTTGTTAGAGCTAAATTTTAAAACTTTCTTCCTATCTATTCTCTTATCAATCAACCGATCTACCGAATTGATACTGTAGCAATTTCAATTCGACGATTAGTAAACGTTTAGTTAAATTGTCCTTATCATTTTAATCAATAATTAAATCTAAATTATATTGAATGGCTAAAATATGCGATTAATTATTTGACTTCATCAATTTATCAGTTTGAAAAATTTGATCCTATCAATTTACCCTTTTAAAAGCTTATAAGTATTTCCTATCGTAAATAAAACTTTGTAGAAAATATATATGCTATTAATGTATAGTTATAATAAGATATGATAGTAATTGAGAACAAAAGATGCTTAATTAATAATTCTGTAATGAATTTAATTTTTGTACAAAATTTCATCCCTTTTGAAATACAATTGTTTTTTTCGGATCTTTTCTACCTTCGGCCATCATTCTGCTTTCATTTTTCCATCATTAAACATTCCTTCGCTATCTTACTCTTGCTATTTTTTTCACTAATAGTATTTTTAAAATGATTGCTGACAACGATTGCTATCGGAAAGACTAAGGTCATCGACAAGGTCATCGATAGCTCCATTTATGGTCATCTACAATTCCATCGATACGAGATTTCTTTTTTTTGGATTCAAATATATGCATGCATAAACATTAGCAAAATAGACATATGTAAAATTTTCTTAATATAAATTATTTAAGAAAGTTTGAGAACTATGACTTTAGAAAGATTGTCCAAAAGCTGGTAGGAAAAATAACAAACATTGTTGGTAAAGATATAAATACTAAGGTGATGATCAGTATTTCAGAAATGATCAGGATTTTTCCTCTTTTAAAATGTAAAAGATTTTTTCACTTTTTAAATTTATAAATTACGCTTATTTTATCAATAGTCTATAATGTTGATTTTCGTTGTGTTAAATAATATCATTTTGCTATCACTCATATGTTGTGTTAAATATCATTTTATTATCACTCATATATTGTGTCAAATAATATCATTTTATTATCACTCATATGTTGTAACTTTGGATAACAAAAAGTTAAAGAATTTAAAAAAGAGAAAGAAGAGTGAGAGAGAGAGAGAGAAAAATAAATAAATTTTGTCTTCCAAAGAAAAATAAATTTTTATCTTAAAAGAATATCGCAGACGAAAAATGGCATTATCAAACATTTTGAAGAGATAAGCAAAAATGTTTGCTATGCTGCAAATGTTAAAATATTATGAAAATTATGATAAATTTATCTATTGATAATAATTATTGCTATTATTAATAGCTATCAAAATGGAATAGTTCACAACTGATAACTTTTTTCAAAAATTTATTTTCAAAATTATCAATTTTTCCACTCTCTCTCAAAATCAACGATGAATCATTGAAAATTTCAATATACCCTTAGCTATTTATTGCTCTCCCAAGCGAACGGGTCTGATATATATTTTTATTGCTGTGCATTTTCTAACGCATTATCATATTAGAAAGTTTGTTATCAATTTTGTTCAAACAAAATATATTATATTTATTTTGAGAAATTTAAAAAACATTTGAGAATTATCTTTGTAAATTAAAATTCACATAATATATTATATATTATCCTATTCTATTCTCATATTATAATATAAAATATATTCTTATTCTAATCCTTTTTAAACTATGAAAAAATTCTAATATTATATGGCTTATTTCGAATCTTTGCCTAAATTTTAACAAGCAGCCGAATTAAATTTAGTGACGAATTTCTCTTTTAAATTCTACAACGTCTGAATTTGTTTTTGTTTACAGTTCCATTGATTGATCGATAAGTAGTCATCTTCAATGGTATTACATGTTTGAAAGAAAAGTAATTTCATGCAACTTTCCGTACATCATTTTCTCCTAATACTTCCATAATTCATTTTCTTCTTTTTTGGATATTCCGAAAGCTCTTCGTTCTTTTTAAGATTTGTTGAACTTGAATGCTAATTCCGGTTTATTTTTACTTCAAAAATTTATCATCTTCATCCTATCCTTCATGATCACTAATGTGATTGTAACAATAATTATTTTCCTTCATGGCAATTTGCAGTAAATGACAGCTTATATCGCTAAAAAGAATTTTTCAATTGAAAAACATATGTTATTTGAGGTGTTATAAAATTGAACAAATTTATTGCCCTCACTTATTTCATCGAATCCCCTCTAATAGCTTTTCGTAACAAACTACTAATAAATAAAATTTTTAATTAAAAATTAAATTTTGCAATTAAGGCATAAATAATATTGAAGTTTTAATTTGAGCTTTTTTTTTTAAGATTGTTTGATTTTTATTTTAAATTATTATTTATTAATGATATTTACTAATAGTTGCAAATATGTTTTAATGTTGTAATGTAGAAAAAAAGATGTCTAATAATTGCATGATAAAATTTCCTTCATATCAGAATCATTTTATTATTAGCTTTTTTGTCGAAGAATAATTGCTTGCTAACTTATAACTTTGAAATTGCTCGTTTGAAAATAAACATTCCCAACGATAACATTAATACATATGTAATTAAAACGATAATAACTAATAATTAATACGATAATAACTAATACGTATAAAATTATTTGCAAACATTTTTCATTTAGGAAAAATAAAATTAACTAAAACAAAAAAAGATGCAAAACAAATAAATTATTAGTATAAATTTAAATTTTCCAAATAAATTATCTCACAAAATATTCTGAACGGAAATATGTCCTAATTTAGTTTATATTATAAAAATTCCTGAAAAGAATACCAAAAATTTCTTCACTTTAAAAAGATATTTTTTTTAAAAGTAATTTTAAGAAACTAAAATGATATCATTGGTATTTGCAAGGAATTAAATAATATATTTTCACGTTATTAAGTTGCTGAAATCATTTTGATATCGTTGAGTTTTGTTAATTTCTTCTTTGTCAATTATTTTAATCAAAAAATTTATTATGCATTTTTCTTTCTTCCTTAATTAATTTACATTTAGCTGAAAATTGTGGTGAGAATAAGGTTAATACGGTCAACACTAATTAAGATATAGAGAAATAGCATCGACTGCGGTAAAGATGTAAATGAGATTTGAACTTTACTGTTACATAATGTAAGACAAACGAGTAATATTAATTTGGAAAAATGTTTGTATGAGTTAATTAGAATTGATGTAATAATGATTTTAAAATTTTTGTACAGCAAAAAAATATGATTGTGATATTAGCAGATTTGTTAAAATTAGAAAACTAGTGAGTAATACAAGAGTAAATGTAGAGAAATCATATGAGTAATACATATGAATAATACTGAAATCATATGAATAATATGATCCGAGAAATCATTAGTATAATATAAGATCATCACTTTTTCACATTAACGTCCTGAAGACGATAATTTTGCGTTCACTGAACTATTCTTGTATTCACTACCCTGTTCCTTTATTTTAAAAAAAAATTCAGAAATACAACTTGAAGGAAAGATTGTAAGGTTAATAAGGTCAGTACTAATTAAAATATAGGGAAGTAGTATAGACTGCGGTAAAGATGTAAATGGGATTTGAATTGTTTTTCACTCCATCCATTAATTTTCAGAAATTATTAGATTCTTAAAAATAAACCTTATTAGGTTCTTAAATTCGATTTTTTTCACTTAGAAATTATTCCTTTCTTTGCTTATTTTTTGAAATTTGCCTTTTTTTTTAGGATATACTAAATTTAGGAAAATAGTAGCTTTTCGGATTCATCCAAACGGTATCACTTTTAAGTTATTTCATAAATTATATTAATTTGAAAATCTATTGTTTTAATTAGATAGAATGAGCATCGAAAATTCAGCGTTGAACTTCAAATCTTCAACATTTGCTTATTAAGTTCTTAAATTCGATTTTTTTTTTCACTTAGAAATTAGTTCGACTAATGAATTAATGGAATAGATTCTATCATCGATTCATACTCAAAATGGATGGCAATTAGTAGATAAGAGTTAATGATTATATGAAGAGTTAAACTACCATATATTGTACTAATATCTCACAAAACAATATAGCTGAAATTGAAATAATGATTTTAATGTTTAATATAAAGTGTATGCTAATTTTTAATCGTTATATTGTGAAATTTCGCTTCTTTTTTTTCGCAATCGCTATTAAACATTAAATTTAGAATTTGTTTATTTTACAGATTATATGTATCAGATATGGTAATATTGTGGAAATTGTGATGATTATGGCAGATGATGATATATTGAATATACAAATTTTCATTCCTGAACTTCATATTCAGGTTAGTCAGAAGATTATTTTATGTACTGTGAAATACATTTTCTCATTTATCACTAATCATTTTATCTTGTGATCTTTTGGAATTCATAGTGTAAGAAAAGAAAAAATTTGATAACAAAATTATGGGCAAATAAGCCAACGAGCGTTAAATGATAAATGATAAATTTTTTATAAAACATATAACAGGCAATTTTTATACGTTTCAAAAAGCAAGCATATGTTTGCGAATGTATAAAATTAAAAAGTTAAATAAATGTTTAACAATTTTACATAGCAAGTTATCGGCTGATCGTACACATTTGACGGAGTAATGTTAGCAATTGATGACAAAGTATTCATGCATACTTGCATTTAATCTCCTTTGTTTGTTTGTTTGTTTGTTTGTTTGTTGAAGAGGAAAAGCAGTACTTTCGCAATTTCAACATTACTTCACCATAGATAATCACTTTACAGAAGAAGTAATATAATGCATAATTTATGCACTATCAAATAGCTAATGATAATACCGTAGTTATCTTTATATGCATGATATAGAATTATTCACACTGTTAATTATATAAATATTTATCATCAAATTTTTATTGAAATTTCATTGTGATAAAAATCTCTAAATGAAATAATGGGTATGTTTAAATTGTTTTGATGATTGTAAAAGCATTGATGTGAAGAATTTTTAAACTGTAGAAATGTTTGGTTGTGAATCATGATGAGAAAGTTTGGAAAATCAAAGGAAGACTTGTCCAATCGCTTCAGAATGTAAGTTTATATTTTATAGGGTTTGAGGTTTTTTTCTTTTAATTAATTTAATTAAGAATTCTTGTTTTCTTTCGCAATCACTCTCTGTTTGACGTTAACATTCCTTAATTGTTTCCTTTTCCGCTTTTCATTAATTTCGGTTAATTACCATACACTAAATGATACCTCAAAATATTCATAATAATTCAAAATATTTTTTTTTTTTAAATAATTTCATTGATTTTATAAATTTAGTAGTTTGAATTTTTGAATAAATTACACATCTTCCTGTAATTTCATTATATAATTTGTTTGAGAGATTATTTGAAATTTGTAGAGGCCTTACAATTATTTTTAAATGTTAACAACGGCTGGTGTGATAAAGAAAGGAGTGATTATTGATTTTCCTCTAAATTTGATATGTTGCAGAAGCTACCTCAATCATTCAACTACGGCTTATTTCTGCCACCTTGCGATGGCCGTGCTGGTAAATTTCTACTGGAAGATCGTCCGATACGTGAATATCCATTTCATGATTGCGTCCCTTATCTTGAGGTCTAATATTTCTTTCAATTCTAAATATTTAAAAGTGACTTAATCAATATTTCAATAAATTTTTATATAATAATATAATAATATTATCTCAATAATTTAATAGATATAATAATATCTCGATAATTTTATATATGTAATAATATCTCAATAATTTTGCATAATAATATTATCTCAATAATTTTTTAGTCTTTTAGCTTTCACAATCTTCGTTGATTTTTTTTCAAATAAAAGATTAAATTAAACCTTTTCAAAACTTTCAACACTAACAACAATAGCAAATAATAATTACAAACATTTGAAATAAATGCTTGCTCTGAGAAATAATCATAACAAAATGATAATCTTTTATTGAAATTTTCAGTTTATCACTTTTTATCGCATCTTTGAATTTATTCCTTTAAAACAGTCAAAACAAAATTTTGATAATTAATTAAGCTAAAATCCTTTAAAACAATCAAACACAAATTTAATCCTTTAAAACAATCAAAACAAAATTTTGATAAATAATTAAAATTACTAATAATTACTCAAAGATTTTTCATTTAAGCTCAAATACAAAAAGCGGGTCTACAAAATGTTGAATATTGACGAAAAGCAATTGGAGAAATTACATACTAAGGTAAATTTATTAGACTATTTTATTTCGTTGTAAAAAAATTCTTTTTAAAAAACATAATTTATTCCAAACGAGACATTTCAACTTTCTTATTTTAGTCAAACTTGAAAAAATTCATGAATTACATAGCTCTTGGACAGCTAAAAAAGGTGGAAGAAATGTGCAGTGCAGGATTTGATCCGAATTTTCATGATAATGAAGGAAAGACACCATTAACAATGGTATGCTCATTACCACAAAATGAAAATTTTATTAAAACGCTGGTAGAACATGGAGCTCATGTCGATTTTCGAAATAGTGATGGACAGGTAAATTTACCGAGTAAAAATTATTTCAAGAAAGTGCAGTTTAATTAGCTTAATTATAATCAATTAAAGTATATTTTGGTCAAAATAAAATTAACTTCTAGCTATTAAATCAAAAAAACTCTAAATTTAATAGTTAAAATAGCTAGGTAAAAAAGTTTATTTTTTTTAAATTAGCATAATAATTAAAGATATTCCACATACTCTTGAAACTAATTTTTGATTTTTGAGTGCTATATAGAATGATGTTATCACATATTATATCAGTACTGTAGCTTTATTAGTTAGATTTTGTAAGTATTTTATAGACAGCAATGCATAAAGCAGCATATTGGTCGTTAGCGGAAAATGTGAACTGTTTGTTAGAACTTGGCGCATCACCAAACTATCGTGATCCACTTGGCTTGACACCACTCTACTACAACATGCTGCAAAGTAGTTCGAAATCATCGGTAGCTCAAATGTTACTTTATAATTATTCAGATATTGATGTAACTGATTTGGATGGAAATCATGAAATACATCAGGTTTGTACTGTTATTTCTGTTATCGGTTTACTTTATAATGCATTAATTTTGGTCCCACTAATTCTTTTATATTAAATTCGAATTTCATAATTAAGTTTCAGAGAATTTAGAAAATTTATGATCTATTTTTTCTACACCTTTTACATATTTAACCTCTAAAAATTTCTGATATCAATGCAAAATTTGTTATTGCTATAACAGAAGAGAGAGAGAGAGAGAGAGAAGGGGAGAGAGAGAAAGTTCTCTTTAGTAGAGATTTCTAGTTTTTTAATCTTTGTGTCATCTATGTCAAATATTTTACAATTAATCCTCAATAACGACGATTTCTTTTTTAAAATACCATTATATATTTATGTTAAAAATTTCATCCTTTCCTTCTCTACCAATAATAATAAATGCTTAAAACTATAAGCATAAGCATTTGTAATATCTTTCCTCAAACATTTTTCCCGTGAAGTGGTAAAGGACTTTGTAAATTTTAATGACAATTTATTAAAAGCTGTCAATTACTCTTCACTTTAGATTTATTTATTTATTCGTTTTATTGTTTACTTTCTAACATGAAATTCTTCGTTTTCATATCTTATAAAATAATTGGCTAATTCAATTTTACTATTCGTTAGATTTAATCCATAATCTCATCCATCCTCAAAATGCATTAAATAAAAACAACAATTTTCAACAGCAACAACATTTTCTGCAAATTTAGATTGATGATTCATTCTAATCTCATTATTATTATTATTATTAATATTGATTTTGATAAAAATGAGAAATGTTGTTTTGAGTATTAAAAAAAACATCGAATGGCTCATATATCATCTATGTGATGTGAAATATTGCACTCTGTAAATTTATACACCGTAAAATTGCGCTGCTCCCAATTGGGTGGTTGGAATGAATTAGCTATATTGTGTGTTGCTCAGTTAAAATATTTGACAAAATCTGTTTTGGATGAAGGAAAAATGATAAAAATGTGAAATTGTGGAGTGGGTAATTTTCTTGAAAGCTTTAAGCAAATGGGAATAACACAAATATTGACTGACCAGTGATGATAACTAATTGGCGAATGGTCAAAATTAATCAGTAAATAAATAGATTAACGCTATTTTTGTTTGATTCATAATCACTTGGGCTATTCCACAATCGAATAAAGCACTTAAAAACCTAATTGAACAATCACTAATCTAACGTACATTTATGATAGATTATGTTAACTGTGATAAAATTATTCTCTACTTAAAGTAACTTGTTGAGAGAGAACGGAAAACTTTCTGAGCTATATCTGATATTTTCCTATTTAATCAGATATTCTAAAACTATGATCTGAGTTATTCTCATAAGTAAAATAGCATTAATTATCTTTTCTTACGATCACTATATCTATTATCGCTATCAAACCACTATCACTTACTATTCTCTTCCATTAGCCGATTTCATAGATCATTATATAATTTTGTTATCATTCGAATCAGAAAACTGTCAATTTTCATAAAACATCGTTTTCTTTTGTTTCCCAACTTCTGCGCAGGTTATTTACCTCACCTCACCTCACTTTATTTTACCTCACCTTGTTATGTTCTGCTAAATATAAGGAAAGGGTATTTCTTTGTGAGAAAAAGGCTTAGCTGCTTTTCTTATCCAATATTTTTTCCTTAGACTTTATAAAGATGTAAGAATGATTATTAATTTGCATAATAATAATTTCAATAGTAATATACCTGTTTGGATTATTCCCACAATTCCCTGCGGATTATATCTAATATTCCAATGAATAATTTTATTGGATCCTTACATTAAATGCAAAATTTATGTTTTCATTCTTTTCTCCTAATATATTGATTCATTTGATAATTGTAGAAAAAGTGAAATTAATGTTCAAATTATGTAATGATATATTGCTTCATTTAACATTTGAATGCATTGACCTTTTTATTCAATTCATTGACCTTTATATTTTGTATTTTGGAGACACATTTTGTTTATTTAAATTTCAAGTTAAAAGTTAAATTTTATTCAAATACTATAACAAACTCACTGATATATTAATTTCTATCTATACGATAGCAATTAAAACTTCTCTATCAATCGATATCATAGCAATCGAAACTTCTCTATCAATCGATATCATAGTAATCGAAACTTCTCTATCAATCGATATCATAATATTTTCAAAAAGAATCTTTTATAGGTCAAATAAAAAATATTTCAAAAATTTAGATAGTTTATAATTATGACCTTTTTTTTCCTGCAAAAAAGAAACGCTAAAAAATAATATTCCTACAATGCTAAATTTATTTCTTCAAAACTTTTATAAAATAAAAAATTTTTAAAAATGATTTTTATAGGATGAAATTCGAAATGAAAATGGACTTTCTTCATTATCGTAGAATTTATTAATAACGATGAAACAAATAACTGTTACGTAGAATGTTTGTAGAAGAAGTAGAAGTGATTCAAATTTAGGAACGTAATTGAAAGTAATTTTTGTAGAACTATTATTTTCTTCATAATCTTGAGAATAAATATTTGCTATTATTTTCTTCATGATCCTAAGAATAAATAATTATTTTCTTCATGATCTCAAGAATAAATAATTATTTTCTTCATGATCCTAAGAATAAATAATTATTTTCTTCATGATCCTATGAACAAATATTTACACTTTCAAAATAAATATTGAATTTCAAAAAAATTTAAAAAGATTTCTCAATCGATATAATGCAATCTTTTAGGGATATATTTATTTTGCAACAATTAAAAAATATTAAGTAAATTGAATTGAAACACATAACTTTAATCCTTTAATATAATTTCCTTTGTTTTAAAATATATTTACATTTTCTGATTCATTTTCATCCATTCTTTCAAATTCCACTATTATTTTGTTTATTTCAATTTATTAATGCTAATTCTGTTCTTTTAGATAGAATTTAAATTAAAAAAGAAAATTAAAGAAGAAAATTGTTTCTTTTGTTTTAGGCATGCAAAAATGGTTTGGTACAACATGTAGATTATTTGATATATTATGGAGCTGAAATTAATGCTCAGAATATTAATGGGAATACACCGCTTCACGTTTGCGCCATCCATAATAAGTAATTGACTTTTAATTTCTATTCTCTCTTTTCTTCTCTAAATCGATATTTATAGCATTCCATTTATAAAGTATGAAATTTTTGCGCTTCCATAATATGAGAATTCTGAGTGAAATGAAATTCAACAAATTAATTTCTTATTTGTTGAAAAAGAAGTGAAATGAAAACATAATTATTTCTCACAGTCTATCATTAATAATTTAAGCAAAGAAAAACATAAGTTCTGTTAGCTGAAAATTTTTCAGGCCTAATTGCGCACGTTTATTGTTATTTCGTGGTGCTAATCCGACAGCTATCAATAAGCAAAGTCAAACACCATTGGATGTAGCACAAATTCTTGGCTCTCATGAAGTAACGAAAGTTATTTTGAACCACGATCCTATGACTACTGGTTCGTTGATCGATTTAGAATCATTCCTTTAGCGATCATTGTTTTTATTCGAAACATTCTGATAGGTTTAGGATTCAGGCAACTGTGATATTCGTTAGTAGTACAATCAAGATTTTACAAAATGAAATTGATCACTTGTCAACTTCTTTAGTTCATCTTCAGAACATCTCTCATATCTAACCTTTTATCGGAACAATCGATGATATTAATGTTGAAAACGGTGAAATTAAATAGACTTGGAAATCAATGTATATATATATATATAACTTTTTAGTACCTTATAACATAAAACCGACCTTCAACCCTAGAAGGCGCTCATCAATGCTACCACCCAGTCAACGATCCTCAAGTCAAGCATCACTTTGTAGCAATGAATATCGATCTGTGGTAAGATTTTTGACAAAATAATTTCAATCTAAATTTGAAACAAAATTTCAAAATATGAATAATTTATAACCTTAATTACATCCCCATACTATTAGTGTTATCAAACTTCTCGCTCAAACTTTGTTTGATCCGTTTGTTGCTAAACAAAATAGAGCAATGTGAAAGTTAGCAACTCAATCTATTAATGGCTTATAAAAAATATAGACCTGCATTTGTAGATACCAGCCAGTCCAACACCAAGTCATATGTCAATATCCAGCTATAAAACATGTCCAGATGTTGGTGGTGGATACGGTACTATGAGACGATATCCGGCTTACCCACTGCTCAACATGAATGGTTTTGAGTATGCTTTTGAGTATTCGTTCAAACATCTATAAAAATCCTTCCTGAAACATTTATCTCATTCGGGTTTATCTGTCTTTATCCTACATTTATCTCATGCATAATATTAAATTAAAACTCGATTTTTCAACACTTTTTCTAAAAGCATCTTCTTTGATGTAGAAAATCGAATCAAAAAATTATGTAATTTCAACGATTGTCATGTTTGTTTTGATCTATGAAGTGAATGGAACCGGTTACTTTATATCTCACAAAATTTTTATTTACTTAATTAATTTAACAGTATGTTCTGTTTGTAGGGTGAATATACCACGTACCGTTGTAATACCACGAAATAGTAAGGGCGGCTTTGGATTTGTTTTACGCGGTGCCACAAGTTTGTTCTCACTACTGTTTAATTGATTATTCTTAGGCATGCGTAATTTTGTTATGCAGTAAGTGTAACATATTTATTTTAACTTTACGATGAAATCAATAACTGAAGTGTAAATTTTAGATTAAAACAAGTATAGACTTCTAAATGTTGGAGTCTGAAAGAAATTCGAATAAGAGTACAATGAAGAAAAAATATTTTAAAATTAAAATTAATTTAAAATTGATCAAAGTTCAATTTAACTCTCAGTGATCTAATTTACATTGAAAATAATTAACTAATTTTTTATATTCAGAAGCTGGAAATTTCATTCCAACATTATGCAATCCAGCATTGCAAAAATTCGAAGGGATTGATCTGCAAGGAATGGCTATGAAAGCTGGCCTAAGGCCCGGTGATTTCTTGCTTCAGGTGAACGATATTGATGTGCGCAAAACACCTCATGATCAAGTTCACAAATTAATACAATCATCGGGAGATACTGTAACATTAAAGGTGGGTTGAATTTTCTCTCAATAGATCATATACATTAGACTTAACGAATTTTCATGTGCATTAGCTGTCTTTTTACTAATAGAGTTATCTGATACAAGAAAAAGGAAATGAAAAGATTTGCGATGTAGAACATTTCATGTAATGTTGTTCTTTATTACTTAAATAGATTCCGGATGTTATTTCTTCTAATTTTACCATCATTTTCATTATCATTTTCATTATCTTTCATTATCTTTTGATGAAGAATAGTAAAGTTATTGTTAAGATGTAAATTACATAATGATAAACTTTTTCTTATCAATTGAGAAGTATAGCAAAAATTGAGAGGTATAGCAAAAATTGTAGAAGCAAACTAAAGAGATTTTATTTAGGTGATTACTGTTGATCCTTGTTCATTCAATTTTCGACCTGTTCATACGATGCCGGTGAATATTTCTCGTACGGGTTGGTAGTTANTTCAAATTTTAAACTTTCTAATTAATTGAGATCGGTTTATATCAGGTGCAGATGGCATGATATTTTAAACTACACCAAGCACGTATTATTTGTGTTATTTTCGTCAGTTTTTTCTAATATCAATCCTCTTTTGTCTATTTTTTTTTAATGTAAGATAGAGTGAAATCTCATCGCCTTACCTGTGCAACACCTCATGAATAAATATTTCCTTAATAGATATTTCCGTAATAAATAAATATTTCTTTGGCATGACTGAAATGAATGCAAATAAAAGAAACACCAATATAGATCAAAAAAGCATCCAGTGGTTCCTATGGTGATTATTTTTAAGTTTTCAAATGCAATGCCTTACTTTAAGGTCATAAGGTTATCCTACTCAAAATGAACTTAACATGTAGTTTGTCTTCTTTCATGATTATACTTTATAGGTCAAAAAGATATTTGATGCATAAAATGCATTGTGATTTGCTTAAAATATAACCAACACATATGATCGGTTTAAAGCAAATGTTTTGTATAATATGATCTTTAAGTAAAATTAGCGTCTTTTAGGAGAACAAGGTAAAAGAAAAAGACTTTCTGGGGAAAGCATTTCATTGATTCCAATTATCATTCTTATATATTAGCTATATTCTTCCGATATTAATTTTCATTTCAAAAATTGGAAAAAATAATGTAAACTATTAAGTTAGCATGCTTTCTGTTGTGCATGTAAACGCTTATAGTTCGAGAATATCGTCCATCAACGTTATCACAGAACAAAAGCGACATCAGGTATTCGTTGCCATATCGAAATCGTCGTCTTACAGATTTTCGCTTTAACGGTAAATTCATTCTATTTTTATTATTTCAACCAAACTTTTGAAAATCACTACTATCCTCTTTCATTGTGTATGTCCGTTGAAATGATTATTCTAGCCTGGAACAATAGAGATATTTCTTTTACAGTATGATAATTAGCATTGGAAAAGAGAAATAACAATTTCGGAAACCTTTCTTTGAAATATTTGATATTGTAATTTTCAATCACTGATATAAATTTATCATCTCACATTATTAATTTGAAGTGAAGTCACATAATGGAACATATTTCGAGAATGCTTGAAAAATTAATTGCATCTTTAATGTTGCTTCAGTTGCTCGTTGCTTCTACCTTTTTTCGCTTTGAAATTTTAAATTTTTGCTTTTGAAAGATCTTCTAAAAGATTATAGACGGGATAAGTACAGTTATAAGAAAATGATTTAAATCAAAAATGATGGATGATTCAATTCTGAACGGATCAGGAAAGGTTCAGTGTATTGCATGTTCAGTTTCATGTTCTATTCGTGTCGTTGTTGTATAAATGTTACCTTTAACTATGTACTATTTAGCTTAGTTTCAGTTTATTTCGAAAATTCATTAAAGTTTAAAAATGATTATATAAATTTCAAAAATATATTTAATTCAAAAAATTCTTAGAAGAGTACTGAGAGGTAAAAGAAAGTTTTAGCATTTATACCACTTTAGCAAATATTTAAACTTGGAAAAATCAATATTTGAATTCTTTGGATTTTTGGTTTTCATTACAGCTAATCAGAATTAACACTTTATACTTGTCCATTTATCATTGCAATTTATTAATTAAGTGCTAGCTCCCTTATATCGAATATAATGATTGATGAAAAATAATATTAAATGAGAGTTAATATTTTCCTTACTGTTAAATGTTGCAGGTAATATAGGTGATATGTACGGCTATGGTAGTAGTATGTTACCCATACACTCTGCTAAATCGGTAGAAGCGCTAAATCAAAGTAATTATGAGCGTTTTGCATCTGTAAAACAACGAATCAACGGTTCCAAACGTATTTCAATGGAAGAATTGGAACGGTTGATGGAACGACAGGGTCAGGGTACTTCACAATTTCAACCCATTCCTATACATGAGGTTTTCTTTTCATTTTCTTCTTCTACCTCACAAATTTCATCATTTGCTTATTCAAATAGCATTAACATTTTATATGTGTCACTTTTTAGCTTTTCAGCTTTTTGATATTTCATTCGAACGAAAAAACTTATTTTTATAATTTTACTTGATATTTATTTCTTGTTGAACATTATGTATTGATTTGGTTGGAATTCGTTGTAGGATTCATTACCAAACGGAAGTGGTTTGAAGTTCAGTTCGGTGAACGATCTAAAACGTTATAAGAAAGGTGGCTTGCATCGAACCGCTTTACCACCAGTAATTGCTAATGATCACTGTGCCCCCTCAGTAATGCAAACTTTTAATTCTTCACCGGGTTATTATTAAATATTTCTTTTCTCTTGACACTTAACATTCTGAAGTTTTTAAAAATTGATTCAAGAAAATAAGAGTGAGTGATATGATAAGGCAGAAGTGAAATATTTCATTTTTAGTGTTTGAGTAGAAGACTTTCGCTCTTACTTATCAGAAATCTTAACTCATAACAGATATTTATAGTAGAATTTGGTGTTTCTCGATAATTCTTCAATAAGTCGGGATTGCTACTTGTCTATTCCCATCTTTTATGAATAATAATTACATATCTTCGGTAGTGGGAATTAAATTATTAACTGTTATTTATCGAATACATCCAGGCCGCTTTTTCTACTCTAACAGACATTACCAATGATAACTCAAATTTCAATACTTAGAAATTATTTAAATTTTAATTTGAAATGATTTTTTGTGAACTAATTAGGAAATTTTGAATAAATGTTTTGTTTTTCAATTCTCTATTATAGATTTGCCTCGATCAGTGGATGATGAACCGTTTTCACTGATTTCTTTTAATGGAAAAGTTGGTCATCATGGTTCGACCACTTCAGACTATTTACGACCTTTTAGGCCCGTTGATCGGCCTAAAACACCACCACCTCCACCACCTCTTGATAACTTTACAGCGTCGTCCTCAAATGATAGTAATACTTTGACGAATAGCATGCCTCCGACACTATCAACATCGTCCATGTTAAGCACTTCATCAACATCTCCGCTTGGAATCGAAACAGTTCTTTCACCCATGCCATCTTCACCTCCGCCTCCACCACCCCCACCTCCACCACCACCACCACCTTTGCCTCAATCTGCGAAATCTGTGGTATGTATTTTTTTCTAAGACTGCAAAATTTTGTTCCGGCTATTAATTAAATTAATTGAATGAGTGTCCTCTCAGTGTATAAATGGATTGGTTATTTTCGATGATTTTTTTTTTTTGAGTCATATCGATAGCTGTGATAATCTGGTAGACAAGTACCGATTAAATTCTGTTAAAAACTGTAGGAATTTCGGATTTTTCTGACTGTGAAAAAAAATTTCGGATTTCTCTCGCTGGTTTATTCTTCCCGATAGTTGAATTTTTTCAGTCTTTTAAAAATGATGCTAAACATGAAGAATCTCAGTCGAAAGAAACGGGAACACCTGCTATCAGTTCTCCAACAATTAGTAATGAAGTGTTATCAACGGTAAAACTGAAACCTACCATACGACGTGAACCAGCTAACTATTGCGCAACTGTACCACGTGGATTTGATTCTGATTTACGTAATGCATTAGCAAAAAGGAGAGGCAAGGTAAATCACGAAAATTTATTTGTATATGTAAAATTTTGTTATTTCCGGTTAAATTTTCATCATATCTTAGGAAAATTTTTAGGTAGCTCAAAATAGCAACAATGATGCATCTAAAAAAGTTGTTTTCTTGTTGGAAAATCCTCCTGTGGCTACAGTTATCAGGTTTGATCTCTTTAATATATTTTAAACATTTTCTACATTATCCTAGTAGATGGCTCTTTTTCCAAACTTTTGGGATTATAATGAGGTCTATTTAGTTGTCCTAATCAGATGACTCCACTCTAAAAATACGAGAGGTCGACCTTTCAGGACGAGAAAGGAATATTCTGTAAAAGTAAATGATTTTGTAGCAGCTACGGTGGATTAAGTTTGTGTGAATCAGTTCGACAAAATGTGCCAAATTCAACAAAATGGGAAATTACGAAATCAGAGCATTCTCCAACAAGCATTGCATCGAAAAAAGATAGCGGGTGAGATGATCCGCTAAAATGTTTAAATCTTCGATATTCCCATAAGTTGCGCTAGAATCGATATTCTTGCTATCAAATCACCTATTACGTATTTCGAAGATACCAATGATGAGTTTTGCAGTAGTGACTATTTGTTTTTCAGGTTGTCTTGAATTTGATGATTTTAACAATTTTTGTTTTCAGCTACACATCATCACGTACTTCGCTTGAACCATCAGAATGTGGTGAAGATATGGGATCAGTAGATGGTGCTACCCTAATCACGATACCGGGATCTGTGAAACCAACCACTAATGTATCTGTTGCCAATTCAGCATGTCATGTTTCATTGATTAGTAATCAATTTGAGGAAAGCTGCTGCCCAACGTATACCACAAGAAGCAATAGTTTACAGCAAGTACCACTACCACCGCCACCACCATCTTCGTTGCCACCTGCACCTGGTCAACAGCGAGCGCAAATTGTCAGTGATAATGATTCGGTAGGCAATAAAATTTTCTGCCTTTAATTGCGATTCAATTCGTTTTGCTCAACTTTTTCTTCCTTTCCTCTTGCATGTTATTACTGAACGGAATGAAATCAAAAGCTTCTTCCTATGAATATTAATTAGTTAATAAATCGTTGCACGTTTCTTTTCCTGATTGTTGCAGAAAATCCTTCCTGATCCCATTGCTATCATGCATTTTGCAAATCAATTTTTGCTTCTAATTTGAAATTAAGTTTTCAAAAATCAAAAATTCATGCAGTCTTTAGAATTTTTTCAACAAAAGTTTCTATGGTAGGTTTGGAGAGACCAATTTTAAACGGTTCCAATTTTTTCCTTTTTTAATCTATCTGGAGGAGGAAGGACGAGAAAACATACTTGATAAAATAAGAATTTGAACACTATATTGATTTAAGTTAAATTCTGGAATAAGCAATTAAGCAGAAAGATTGATTGAAGCGGTACATCTGTCAAAATGTAACCGAAGCGATCTAAGGCTATCTTATTGTAATGTATTTAAACTTTTCAATATTTTAATGTTAATTGGTTTAAATGTTTTATTTCTTTTCCATCTCTCAGTGGAAGAAATTTATTCAATTTTATCTTCATTTTGTGTGGAATTTGCATATCTCTCCAGACGAGCTTGAACTCCACGCTGTCGACATTGAGCGGACAGTCATCATCGGATCGTCAACAACGTTCATTTTCCACTACCCTGTTGTCCTCAACATCTCACAGCAAATCCTCAGTAACTTCACCGGCTGATTGCAACGATGATGATCCGGATAGCGGTACCGGAGATTCAGATAACGAAGCTACGGTTGAAACCAGTAAGCTGCATAGAAATAGATTATTTTATTGATGCCATATATATTTCCATCTGCTTGCTGTCCTCCTTTGGTGCTTTTGATTCATTAAATATTTCGACGCGACCGATTCAATAATTTAAAACTGAACATTTTTCTATTCCGTTTGCCTTACTCCTTTGTGCCTTTGTCTGTGTGACAATTTGAAAATGGCTGGTTCCTCTAAACTTTTTCCTTTCCGGCATTCATCATGCTTTACTTCAAAGTATATTTTAAATTGAAAAATTTTAAACCTTAAAAGCTCTCAATTTTATACTTTTAATTTGGTATAATAATAATGTTTCCAGGTAATCACACAAATTCGTCTATGATAAACAATTTTTCCGATAAACAAGTTGCACATTGGACAACTGATGATATTGTTGCATGGCTAAAAACATTGGGTCTTTCGGAATATTCTCGGAAATTTCGACAGTTTCAAATTAATGGCGCCCATTTGTTATCTTTTGATCGATCATTATTAACGCAACTCGGTGTCACACGAATCGGTCATCGGCAATTGATCGAACGGTCGCTGAAAAATTTGATGGAGCAATGAATATGTTAGAAGTAATGCATTGAAAAAGTTTCGATTTAACTGTTGAATATGAATGATAACTATTCTTTTTACTTTGCTGAAAATTTGATTGTGCAATTTTTGATTGCGAGCTGTTCGATTTTCGATAAGTTTAAAATCGTAAATATTTGCTTCAGATATGAGAAAGGATGGAAAAAGACGAATAAGACATTTTTGTTCATTCAAAATATAGTGGTGTAAATTTTTTTACTTTAAGAGACAATTTCCTTCTTCTACGGTCAATTGTATCTATCCGATGCAGAAAATGCAAAACTTAAGGGAACAGCTCAGGAAAATTGTTTTAGGTCTTAGATGGAAATTAAAATTTCTTTTTGTTGAATATTAATTCACTTTACTAATGACATTTTTGTAATTTACAAATACTCATTCACATATTAAATGTTCTTTACCTATTCCAATCTCTTTTCTTCCATAATATTTTAGGTATTTCATTTCTTATTATTTTGAAATGTGAAATGAATTCCTGTTATTTAGTTTGCTCTATCAATTGTTTTTCAAATGAATTATTCAATCGTTTTCCTTTTTATGTTACTACAATATTTTTAATCGAAATTCAGAATTCCAAAAGAAATTATTAATATTTCACCGAGCTTTGATGGAAATTAATATTTGTAATCCATTTGAATTTTACACACTTTTTTGTACTATTATTTCAATAAATAAAAGTTGCAGTATGATGAATGAGTAATAGCAGGAAGAAATTCACAACAATGTCTAGAAGAGTGCAAAGTTTTATGATTGTCTACTTATTTTTTACCTTGAAAATACATTGAAAAATACCTGGTAATTACTCACTATTCCTCAGTAAAGTTCTTTTTAAAACTTTCCTACATTTATTTATGTACGTAGCCTAACTATTTATGAACATCTGGCACTTAGACGAAGTTCATAATACTAAGTTTTAGAATTATTTGGAATGGATTGCAATTTTGACAAAAAAGAAACAAATAGTCAAAATTAGGATAATGAAGAGATATTAGCATTAAAACAGAAATGGAAATAAAAATGCTAGAATTAAATATTGAAATTAAAACAATAGAATTACTGAATAGAAATAACGAAGAGGACGAGATGCCGAAATGTTAGTTAATACATTTTGTCGATTTCCATTTTTCATTTCCTTCTAATAGAGGAGAAAAATACGCTTAAATGGCTATCGTTACTAACTATATGTTGAGTATGAAGAATAAAGTATCGCTATAATACCTTCATATCGCAATAAAATTAGAAATTACTATCTATAATTTCTGTAACATTATTATTATTATTATATATATTATCAGTTATATAAAATAAACAGACATTTACATGGCATTTACTAAAATATAATTTTCATGAAAATTTCTATTTTAGAATTTTTGACATATGCGATTTAACTCCTTAGATGGTAATTTCTAAATTTCTATTGCATTGTTAATAATCGCACTCATTTCGTAATTTATTAAAATGTGATAAATAATAGGCCGATTGCACAGTATATAATTTTCTTCGATTAAAATCGCAATAGTTTATCCTTATCATCGGTAAAAATTTCCTTGATGCATATTTGTCATCAGTTAAAATTAGCGCTACTGTATCCTTATCAACAATTATTAAAGTTACTTTGATATATATATATACGGTCTATTACGTGTGAATATATGAAATTATTAAATTTATAATTTAAATTTTCAACATATTCTTTCTACAATTCATTGCGAAAGAGTTAGTTATAAAAATGATATTTCAATTTTGTCAATGAATCAAATCAATTTTTTTGCTTATCATTTGATAAGATAAATAATTGAATTCAGCCATATGCCGTTATTCAGTTTACATTTTATTACGTATTAAATCAAATAAGTCTTAATGATCTTTGGTAGCAGCATGTAATTGGAGTCTTATAAACTATCGATAGCGTAATGATCGAATTTTGTTTGTTTACCTTTTATCTCAAACTCCTCCCTTTTCAGCTTTCCTCACTTACCAAACAGATATTCATTCAATTGATACACGTTTATTCGTCTCTTGTTGATGGCTTATTTTCAGGTTATGGTAATGGTAATGCTTATGTGTAATGTGATAGTTAATAAAACGAAGAGAAGAGGGTCATTTGATGAAATTAACGAAATTTTGAAGATATATATGATTTATTTCCATAGTTCATACTCTTTCTATGATGGAATTAATTGCTTAAATAAAACTTAAAATTTACAATTTCTTTTTTAGAATTGATTAAATAAGTTTATTTTGCTTAGATGCTTTAAAAAGATTACATTTCATTTGGTAAGAAATATTTCAAAGTACAATACTTATACAGTATACTTATACACTAATACAGTATTAGTAATATTCATAGTTGACTTGTTCTAATTTCGAATGCTACACAAGATAATTTTAATATTGCAATCCTAATTACCGATATCGAATGATAAATTTGGCGATAAAAGTGAAGGTGTTAAAGAATATAAAAGTTCCTATAATAATTTTGCTTTTAAAAACATTTCAATTAAAAACAATTTCAATATTAGGAATTACATATATCGATCGGGTTTATCAGAAAACTCATTCAAGTTTGAATTAATTTAAGTATTCACATAAGTTTAGATTTTAATTATTACTTATTTTAAGCACATGATTGAAATGGATTTTGCTATTAATACAGGAACTGAAAGTAATTTCAATATATTAAAATTTATTGACTCTCTTTTATTGCTTGTTAGTACAAGTAGTAATTTCAACAAAGATTACTACTAATCATATAAATTTTATTCTAACAATGAGCTATTTCCATTATATTCCATCTTCCTCTTAATTGCATCAAAACAGTTTTCTCTTCTTTGATATAAGTGAAAAATTAAATTTGTTAGAAATGAAACGAAACAATAAAATTAATTATAAGCGCCCAAAAAGGTATGTTTGAAAAAACAATAGATTTGAGCTACAATGTTAATATTATCTCTAAGTATTAGTAAGTACATATGATTTTCGTATCTTTAAATGAATACCTTAGAATATATTGTCTTTGCATGACACTGACATCCCTCTTCATATTATCCCTTTCTTACCTGTAAATGAAACTTTCCCCCTCGTTATCATATCATCATCTCCCTATAAATGAGACTTCTGGATAATATTGATCGAAATATCATTAAGTAAAATTTAAATCAAACCAAAACTTGTCTATCATTTGTATGTCAAAAGGTTAATACAATAATTCTTGCAATTTGATGATTTCTTTTAGTTTTGAGAATAAAAATATAAATCCTATTTGATGTGTTTTATAAAAAAAAATCGTTTATTCCATATAGCTTCATTATCAATTCGTTATCACTTCATATCAATCTATTACTATGGTACCTCTATTTACTATGGTTCCTATCTTCATTCAACTAATTTATCATATTTACTAAAATTAGGCCATTATTTCATATTTTGTAAAATTGTTTCTGACAGCCTATATAATGAAAATTAATTAAATTTTCCAAGCATTTTCATCAGACCTTCCGTCTTCTTCTCCAAAATTTACATTTATCAAACAACATCGAAAAAACTTCATACTTCAAAAGTTCATTAAGGTCACCTGAAAATTTATCTCAACTTTGTTGCATTTTTCTCTCTATTTGCATTATCATTAATAATTGTTGTTAAGTGATAAATATTAAAAGTGACAAATGTCTATTTGTTTGTTTCATTCCAAAGAAATCTTCAAAATTTGAATATTCTAATTTCGTATAAAAAGTAACTTCATATATTTTCAATTCTCATTTCTTTTCCACTTAAAAAATTCGTTTTCAAAAGCTAAAGAATTTTAACTAAAAGATGAAATTGTAAATTGTGTGCATAAAATACATCGTTCCACTTACTATCTTACTGTCATTAATCAATTTAGTCATCTGTTCTCTGTTTGCCAAATAAATCAGTTCTGTTTTTTTCAGCTATTCTTTTTATTGTGCTTATTCGACGAATTTAATGTGCATTAAATTCATTATCAACGATATTGGCGTTATTGTCATGATCATTGTTAATTCTAAGCATGAATTGATGTAATTCCATCCATTTGTTTATCCTTCCATGTTCAATTCTTTCCAATCATTTCCATCAACTATTTGTATCATTGATAGTTTGATGCATCTTTTCCTCCCACCCATCTTTCACCCGCAATCGGAATCGGATCATATCGTGTTTCTCACACTTCCTCTACTAAATTTATATACATTCTTTTCATCCATTTCGACTCGCAAACCAACCAGCTGGCCACCTTCGATCGATTTTGAAAATTGCAGATCGATTTGTACAAACTTCAAGCAAAACATTCTTCAACTCTTGATCATTTAGAATTGTCCATTACTGCTCGTTAAGATTTTACATCTTCGTTCGTTTCTTAACTCTCTTTCTCTCGAAACGTGAAAATGAAAATTTGCTACTTAATGTCTTTCCATTTATGGTTATTTTAATATTAGGAGAATTGCTGTATACGTCAATTGAATATCATCAATTGTATAAAGGTACCAAAAGCATTTATACATTTAGCGATAGATTGGAATCATTTACTAATCTTACAGTTTGTGCCTAATTCATGTTTCGATAAAATTAACAAACGTCTTTTCTATCTGTCAACAAATGTGCTGTTATAACTGCGCTCATATGATTCACTCATTTCAGGCAACTTCGTTTTAAACTATATATTTTTCAACTTTTCAACTTGTATCTATTTTTGAAATAATAGTTATAAGCAAATGAATAAATTTTTCAAATTACATTACGTATATGGAATACATTTTTGAAATGCCATACATTTTCAGTATCATAAAATATGAAAAAAATTTTCTTTTCACTTCTTCCACATATTCTCTAAAATTATAGCTTATATAATTAGCTACCCGTATTCAATTGAATAAAATAAGCTATATTTCCTGATCACATAAAATATCGCTAAACTTCGGAGACACATTAAAACAGAAGCACTGATTAATCAATCG